AATTATATTAATATTTTTTTCACTAATCAATAAAATATTATTATTATTTTTAATTTATTATAAACAATAATAATAATAATAATAATAATAACAATAATAGAATACATTGGGGGATGGAAATATTTATTCTACTTTTCTTTTTTCTTTTTTTTCTTTTTTTTTTTTATATTTTGAGTCATTTCACTTAATATTCTTTAATGTATAATTTACTTTACAAATATCATTATATTTTGTATTATAAGTGATTAATAAATATATTTTATTATTTTCTTTTAATTTATACTATGTTGATATAATAATTAATATTAAAAACTTAATATCTAAAAAAACTCATTTTATAGAACGAAGAGAATTATATAAATATGTATATAAAAGATATACAAAAGTAATATATATACATATATACTCTATGGGCATTTCCAATGCAGCTGCATATTTAAGGGTGTCTATTCAGTCGATCAAGTTCAAATCAAATCGAACTTTCAATTTTAATCGATTTTCGTCTTATAAAAATTGAAACTGAAATTGAACCAAAATTTTTCAAAATCAAATAAACCGAACCAAAATTATTCGGTTTGGTTTAAAACCGAAAAAATCGAACTTTTATTTATTAATATATATTTTTAATATACAATCAAATACAAATACTCAAAATTATAATATATATTATTTATTAATATATAATTTTTCATTATTTTTAAAAATTTGATTTTTTCGGTTAATCAAAATAAAAATTCTAAAACCATAATCGAACCGAAACCAGAATTTATAAATTCAATTTTGGATCGAACCGAACCAATTAACCGAACAATCTAAATAAAAAAATTCGAACCGAAAAAATTGGATTTTTTCATTTTGAACCAATCAATGCTCAACCCTATGAATGTTTGATATTGCAGCTAAATAAATGGAGTTTTGTTCCTCCAATCAAGCATAAATTCTAACACCAATTTTGGTGTTGCACTGTAGCATCTCCATATTTAGTGTTGTATTTATTTATTTTTTAAATTTATTTTTTACTTGTTATATTAATTCTTTTATTTATTTACTTTTTAATTTTTTTTGAAATAATAATTAATTGTAAATATAAAAAAATAATTTAAAATAATAGTATATAAAATAAAATATTTGAAGCATGTTTTTTTGGAATAAAAAATTGAATTATGGTTTAAAGTAAAAATATTGTACTCACTCCGGACAAAAATACTCCTATTAGTATAATATAAAGGTAAAATAATAATATTTGTGTAAAATATCCTTATTTATTATGTTAAGTAAATAATACATTACTAAATTAAAAAATAGTAACTTTGTTTTGGAACAAAAAAATGGTAACTTTTGAATGAGACGAATGAAATAACAAGGTTGGAGATGACCTAAATAAACATGTTAGCCAACAATAGTATATCAAAAATAAAACATCTCTTTTGATCAAAAATAGGAGATCCGAACAAAGACAGTGAAGAAATTTTTATTCTCTCGTAAACTTCACTTGATATAGTAAATAAAATGTAAAATATTTCAGATTTTCTTATATTTAATATGAAAAAGAAAAAATATAGTGTCCACCAGTTTGATTGTAAAAAAATTTAATGGCAACGAATATAAAATTTCTTTTAAATCTAAAGTAAATGTATAATAATTCAAAAAAAAATAAAATATCACCCAATATTTTGGCCTATAATCATCAATACAATAGGAAGACGAAAATTGATTGAAATGATATTTATATGTACATTATATATTAGTTTTTTTGCAAGTTTTTAAAATCCTGCACAAAATAAACATTCAACGTTACTGACTTCAGGCAGCAAATATGAAAAAAAAAAAATGGCAGATTAATAAAACCCTAGAATTGAAATTAGATGATAAAAATCATAATATATATATTCAAACACCCCAGCTTCACTGCAAATTTATTAGCATAGAAAGAAGCATAAAAAGGAGAGGTTTGAACTGACGAATATTCTGTATTGCTTCATGGTTACGAATTGAGTGGGAACCCTAATTCATTCATCCAATCCCATCAACAAGACAGTGAAGCTTAATTTCTAAAATCAACAATGGCAGCAGAATTAAGCAGAAACAGATGAGCCGAGAGGAATAGCGAGATTAGAAATACACAAGTAAATGCAAACAAAAATTATAATGATAACGAAGTGTTGCAGAATCTGATGGGTGAGAAGAATGGAAGAAAGAGTTCCCATGGCGGAGGATTTAAAGGCCAGATGATGATGAATAGGTGCTTTCTGTTGCATCTGGAGATTTTTGTGGGGGAAGTGTGGGGACACGTGTTCAATTGGAATTCGCTGGAAGGTTCCAGAGGCTATTGGATGGTTCTTCGCAGTCACTAATATATCAACACCGCAACAACTTTAATTGAATGAAAGTGAGATTTATGGGCTACTTTTTGCTGCCCATTTAGAACCCCACACGTTAGGTTATCACTCTCTTCTCTAACTCTTTAAATAAATGAATAAATAATAAGGGTCTGTTGTTTTTTTTTTTAAAATAAAAAAATAAATTAACATATTTTTTCAAAAAATAAAAAATAAATAATATACATATTTATTATTTTTATATTATTTATTTATTTATATCATATATCATACTTCCTTCATCAACCCGGCTCGAATTTTAAGAAAAATAAACAAAAATAAATTTTTTTACTTTTTTGAGTAAAATAGTATTGTTTTTTACTTTAAAAAAATTGAAAATAAATTTTAATGACAACTAAAAACAGAAAAATGAAAATAGATTTGAATGACAGGGAATATATCATATATATATATATATCTATGTGATTTGACAAGGCATTGTCATTTATGTGTTCTTATAATTTTGAAATCTTATTTTATTTTTTTAATACTAAGTTTGGATAATTAAAATTTGTTAGAATAACCAAAATATGGATAAAATTAGGCTTTTGTATCTCTATATATACCTACTTGTAATTGCATAAATTGTTTGATCTTAAAATTTTTGATTTTGTTTTAAAAAATCGTATTCTTTTTATTTATACTAATATATTTTGTTTGATTCTTTGATACAGAAAATACAGGAGAAATAATGATTATAAAAAAAAATACGAAGATCATAAGAAGAATACTGAAAAACATCCTTTCGTTAACTATCTGATCAAGTAGAAGTTTTCATAGAGTGTTCACGATTCGTTGTGCTTTTTAATCCATCGGTGAAATTTGCGATCAGTTGTTTATAGTTCAACTATAATTTTATAAAACCTGACAGATTTCTCTAGTTCATTTTCTTGATCTTAATTTTTCTTAAATTTTTTATTTTTATTGGTTGATATACCTGTGATTATGACTATTTATATGCATTCTTGAAAAACTATTATATACAATTTGATTATAGTAGATTTTGGTTTTTAATATTGTATTTTTTTTTATATTTTATTTGTAAAAATAATTTGTTATCGTTTATAGTGAATTCTAACAATAAATTTTTTTTATTAATTTTTAAAATTTTAAACTTGATCTGCATAAATTTTAACTATCGCATTATATTGCTTATGTATTTTTTTTTAGTTTCTACTTATCAATTCTAATATTCATATTGTGATACAGAAAAAATAATTAAAAAAAGTCAGGAAGAAGAAAAAAGAATACAAATGTATTCTTAATTATTTATTGTATATTTTTTACTAATTATTTTTTCCATTTGTATATGCATTTTTAAAAAACTGCAGTATAATCCTGAGCGGTAAAAGACAATTGAGACACACCAAAATAATTGATGTAATCATAATAGTTCTAGTGATGAGTCAGCAAAAGCACAACATTCTAACTTAGCACTCAATCGAGAAACCACCAACACATGAGAGAATCATTAAAAAAAAAAAAAAAAAAGTCATCATCTCAATCAATCTGAAAGTAACCGCTAAGTGTCAATGAGAAATGAGCTGAGAAGTGTAAACTATGCAGTAAAGTACCTTTCAAATAACGAAAAATATGTAAGATAGCATAGTGATGAAAAGTACTTAGAACAACCATAAACTGACTTACAATATGAATTGTTTGAAGTATATCAAACTGCGTGACAGCCAATCAAACTCCCAACAAGCTAACAATACAATGTAGGATCGTCGAGAAAAGAACCATCATGATGAATGAGTCGAATATCATAGGTAAGTGATGTGGAGGATGTTTGACAATTAGTGAGATCGGATCCAAAAAATAAGATCAGAGGCATCGGATGAAAATCATTGAAAGAATAAAAAAAACTCAAATCCAAAAAAAATAGTGAAGTGGCCCAAACTCTTCATCTTAAACGACTGACAAAGATATGTCTGTAGATCAAAAATACCATAAATATCGTCGCCATGATGATTATGTCGATAATATAAAGTAATAAAATAACAATCTTGATGGACGAGTGACGAAGAAATATACCAAATCGTTACCCTCATAATAAAACCAAAATCCAATAAAACAAAACTAAATATGACTATTAGGCACTAAAAATCTACTTCAATCATATAAGACTATGCGGAAGCGAAAAATTTTTAAAAAAGATAAAAAAAAACCTAAATGGTGGGATCACATCAAAAGAAGGGGAAAAAAATGGAATAAAACCTCTAAGTTAGAAAACTACTATTACCATAGTTGTAATTTTATTTTTTTTAAAAATAAATGAGGTTTTATTTGTTGTTTGGGAGATTTTGCATTATTTACTCTCTTTTAAACAAAGAGAATCAAATTAATATATATTTTTTATTTTTATATTATATTAAAAATTAATTTTATATTACATCATTACCACTTATTTATGTCATGTTAAATAATAATTTCAATGGAAATTATATTATTCATATCCAACGCATCAAACAAACACACCTGTAATGATTTGTACAGTGAATTTCTTCTTTGGGCTGTAGGCCCATTAATTTAAATAGGCCCGATAAAGTGGATTGGGCCTTCTATGATCCACCTCTCTTTTAATTATAATTTATTTATTCATTTATAAAAATACAGACCAGATCAGACGAGACCGGTGGTTCCCAGTTCACAGTCTCCGATAAAGGTTGAAACGATGTCGTCTTCCTTTGCCGACTCCTTCGATCACTTCGGCGGCGGCGGCGGCGGCGGCGGCGGCGGCGATGATCGATCATTTGACGAAGGGTACCTCGGGTCTGATTCCTTTTCCAATTTCAATTCGGCTGCGGCCGATTCTCCTCCCCCGATCTATGCATCCAGCGGGGAATTCCACTCTGATTCGGCTTTTTTCCAGTCGGAAACAAATACTAACGGTCCGATTCTGCCGGAAATGGGGCCAGAGGAGGGGCACGCACTCAGAGAATGGAGAAGGTCGAGATTTTATATAGCTTTTGTGGTTTCTCGATTAATCCACTCCTCGATGTGTGCTGTGATTGTTTTCCCACAGTTAGGGTTTTGTTTTTAGGTTTAAGTAAATTGTGCTGATTTTTTATGATATATTGAATTCATCGATAAAATACTGCTCCGATTATTCGACTTGCGTATCTGTTAGATTTAAATAGGGATGCCATCGAACAGTTGCCTTGCATATGAAGCAAATCTGGCGATCCTCTTCGAATCTTACTATTTTTCTGAAAACTACTGCCTTTTAGATGATAATTTAGCATAATACTTACCCTATCAGAAGAGCTTATGCTACACTCTAAAATTGAGCGTGATTTCTTTGTTGAATGGTTTGATTTGTTTAGATGAGATAGAAACCTGGCTTGCACTCCTTTGTGTCTGATTATTAGTATCAATTGTTCAGGAAAAATGTACATTATTGCATCCAATTTTTTTCAGCACTTTACATAGAGTGAAGGACTCTATATGTTGACTGTGGTCGATCTGATTAAATTGCCCATGATAGATTAGAGTTAAGTCATTTGTATCCTTCGATTAATCAGGCCATATGGCTTAAACACTTTGGATTGGATGGCAGAATGAACTGCCTTAACGTATAGGGTGATAGCCTGACTAATCTGCCTGATGACCCGAATCAGGTTCAGCCTAACCGAAACTGCTAATGTTTGTGTGTCTAGACATTTTCGCACCCGTAATTTGAACAATATGCAGCTTTGAACGTGAAAATTAAATGGAGTGCCATCACTGCACTGTTTTTTTCTACTTTAGAACATTGTATGTATACAGGGCATGTGGATAATGACAAGCGGCTTTTACATATACATATTTTAAACTGCAGTATGGATATAATATTTACTGAAAGGTTTGATGAAGTATAGAATGAATCTATGTTAGTCATATTGTGTGTCTTGTTGGTCGAATTAGCTCCTAAATTTCATGAAAGCTCTTTGTATGTCTAAAACCCCAGTCTCGGTAACTGTGTCTGAGTAGTTGCAATTTAGACACTGGCAGTCCTATTCGGTATCCATTTAGAAATTTTGACAATGAAAATTATGTTTCAGGGCCATAATCCGTATGCCTTTGCTTTGTTTCCAAACAATTTCTTTGGGGTGTTTATTTGTTATGCAATCTGTACATATATCTACAATGTAAAATGTCTTTTCTGTTACCCTTTACTGGTTGGATGTTCATATGGCAATCGCTTGCAGACAAAATGCAACTAGACTAGAGGAGAAGGAGAAGAGAGAAAAGGAGTTGCTGGAACAAATTGTAACTGAAGCTGAGGAGTACAAAGTTGAATTTCACAAAAAGCGGCAGCTTGCTTGCGAAACCAATAGAACTGCCAACCGGGAAAAGGAGAAGGTAAGAATAATGGCAATATTTCTATTCACAAGTGATCTTTTGTTGCTTCACTATTTTCAATTTGATCCATATCACTATTAATCCTTGCTAATGATTCAAACCTAAACTTCTCAGAATGGTAATCTCTTTACCCTATTGTTTGCTGTAAAATGTTTTTTGGGCTTGTGGCTCAAATTGGATGTTTTCCAGGCTCGGTTTACTTGTGTTTTCAATTTTGTTTTGACCCTATTTAGCAAAATTCTCCCTTTTAAAAATATCACAACCAAACCTATATTTTATTTAAAACTTCACACCCCTCCCCCCACCCCAAAAAACAAAAACCCTATCTTTTATACAAAATATCATATCTAACACAATAATTAGTAAGGTTGTGTTTTTGTTTGTGGGGTTTTGGTTTTAGGTTAAGATTTTAAATAGTAAAATTTTGAATTGAAATAGTTGTTTGATGTGATATAAATGTGTTGATGTGATGCTTTGAAGGTAGAATTAAGTATTAGATATAATATAATAAATGAAAAATATGTGATTGATTTGATGTTTTCAGAGAATTTTTTTTCTGAAATAATAAAACTGTAACACAAAATCCCACAAACAATAAGTCAACTTTTTACTATCGAACACCTGTGATTTGTTTTTAATTTATTAGGTTTTTTTTTTTGTTTATTTATTCTCAGTAAATTATTAGAGTTACTGGACAATTTCTTGAATCAGAAATATTAGTAGTATTATCCACTTTCACCAGGTGTTTATTGCAAGCCAAGAGAAATTCCACGCTGAAGCAGACAAGGATTATTGGAAATCGATAGCGGAGCTAATCCCCAAAGAAATCCCTACAGTGGATAAGAGGAAAGGCAAGAAGGAACAGGAGAAGAAGCCCGGAGTTACTGTGGTTCAAGGCCCTAAACCGGGAAAGCCAACCGACTTAGCCAGGATGAGGCAGATACTTATAAAACTGAAGCACAACACTCCCGCCCACCTGAACCAGCATTCCCCTCCCGCCCCGGATGCCAAAACAGATGCTTCTACACCCCAAAAGGCGGCCCCCATTGCTGTGGCCTCCACAGAGGCTATTGCAGTTTCGTAAGTTTATTTTATGCTCACATATATTCGTAAATTCGGTTTTCATTTGGGAACTATGAATAGAAATTGTGACTGGAGTCTGTTTAATTTGAGAAAACTGTAGGATTGGTGGTATATTTTATTATGAACCTGTTTTATTATTCGCCCCTTGTGATATGCGAGTCGAATCTATCTTTGTCGCCTGTAGTTCTTTTCAGTTAGGTTTTTCGAAATGGCATGCTTCTATGTGTACATCAGAGTTGTTTCGATGCGCTATGAGTCGAGCCGGATTGATAAGTAATACAGGTGAAAGGTAGATAGTTAGAAAAAAGAAAATGCATCTGAAATGTGTGTGAATTGAAGCTGCACAAGAGACATTATGAACTATTATTTTTGGCTTCCTCTTGCTACCATAAATTGAATAGTTACCAACTAATGAATAGTTTACTAGAAAAATATCTTAAATTTGAATATTCAATCTAAACCAAATTAAAATTTGGTTTGGAATTTTCAGATTGAAAGATTTTTCAAATTTTAGTTTTTCGGATGGGCATATTGAAATATCTGATTTGACCTGAAATTTTAAATTTGGTTTGGAATTTTTGAACTGAAAATTACTAAAATTTCAGATATTTGGATTATTTTCAATTTGGTTTGGATGTTTCATATTGAAAGTTTTCTTAGATTTTTGGATTGGTATATTGAAAATAATGATGAACATATCTAATTTGAACCAAGGTTGGGATTTTTTGTTTGGAATTTGATTTGATATTTTTTTGAAAAAATATATATATTAATAGTAAAAATTTGGAAAAATCTCCAAAAAGAACACACCTTAAGAGTGTTTTTTGGTGAAATTATTTTTTATAAATATTATTAAAAATGCAATATATATACATAATGAAATATATACCTTATTAATAATAATAAGGTAAAAGAGAATAAAATTTTATATAATATAAATGAATAAAATAATATATTTATTTATTTATCATTACTATAAATTTATTAATTGAAGAGAGAGATATAAATAAAAGGTTTTGAGTGGATCTACTCTGTGGCGGGATGGAAGGAATATATATTTTATACTCAAAAAAATTAACCGTTCAATACAAAATATTATTTTTTATATTTCAAATCTAATAAAAAAGCACACACAAAGACACACTTATCCCCAAAAAAAAAAAAAAAAAATGAACAAAATTATTGTCTTATGAATGTCCTTGTGATTTGTTGTACATTATTTGTTTAGAAATGCATTTATCTAATTAAGAAAAATAGAAGTTCTGAATTTTTTATATTTCATGCAATTTCAGGTTTTATTTTATTTTATTTGAATTTTATATTTGAGATTGGGATTGATCGGATCAAATTTTTATGAAATTCTGGATTTTCGTTTTGATACGAATTTTGCCAAATTCAAACCATATCCGGAAACTCAATCCTATTTGCAACTATTAGGACTCTTAAATAGCAATTGTGATTGGCCAGGTTTGGATTAAAAAAAATATTATAATAATAATAATAATAATAATAATAATAATAATAATAAAGAGGGTAAACTGTTTTTTCAGTCTCGTAACTGAACTTCTTATCATTTTAGTGTCGTAAGTGAAGTCTGTTGCAAATTAATCTCATATGTAAAAATTTTTTTATTGTTTTAGTCCTCCGGCGCTGGAGACTCCCGCGTGGCTCGCTGGAAACCACGTGTCCGTTAGGTGTTCCGTCAGGTCAACGACACTTGGCGGACACGTGAATTTATTTTATTTTTTATTTTATTTTTAATTTTTTTTTATTTTTTTTTTCAATTGGACCAAATAAAAAAAATTTAAAAAAAAGACAAATAAAATTTAAAATTAATTTAAAATCAATTTTTAAAAAATTGAAAAAAATAAAAAATAATAATAAAATCCATGTGTCCGCTAGGTGTCGCTGACGTGGTAGACACATAGCCTCCGGCGAGCTACGCGGAAGTCTCTGGTGCCGGAGGAATATAACAGCGAAAATTTTATACTTATGAGACTAAAATGATAAGGGGTCAATTTAGGGACTAAAAAACGGTTTAACCTAATAATAATTACAGTTTGGATTATAAAAGTTTAAGCTAAGTTAGGTCCCAAGCACGGGATAAAAGAAAGTAAATAAATAAGTTCTTACAAACTAACCCATTTAAATTCAAAAGCAATGTGACAGATTTATTTAATTATAAAAATTATTCAAATATCTAATTCTATATTTCTCTGCTTGTCTTTGTGAATCTTTAATTTTTAATATTTTCACTTCACCCTTTCCTATTTTTACACTTTCCAACCCACTTTTATATTAAGATTGAAACATATATCAATTCCCAACTTGTATAAGTGTTTTATATGTAATATTTAATTTTTTATTTATATTATACTATATGAATTCTGAAAATATAAATAAATAAATAAATAAAAAACAAAAGTACCATAATTCATTTGAGGGACAAGATAAAGAGAAAAATATGATGGAATATAGAATTTGATGTCATAGATATAGATACATAGGTTGTGTGTTTGGTTACGATTCAAAAATCAAAATTTAGCATTATTCATTCCATAATTTTCAATAAAAATACATTAAAAGATAAAAGTCTAGAAAGAGTACCAAACCAACTCCAATCTCAACCAAACTAATTCGATCCTAGTAACTTTGGTAGATAACAAGTGTGATGGAGAATATTTAACATTATTACTTTTTTAACACAATACTCCCTCCCTCCACTCTTACATATAATTTTATTTTGAATTTTCAATTACAAAGTAATTATTTTTTATATTTTTTAATTTTACTTTTTTTTACCTATACCCCTATTTTACCATAACATCGTTACTTTTACCGACACAAAAAAAAAAAAGGCAACATAACACTACCTTCGTCTCAAAACAATAGAGATATTTAGAATTGACACTGAAATTAAAGAATAATAATATTATATTAATAGTGAATGTAAAACTATTTTAAAAAACCAAAATATCTCTACGTTAACGTAATTGTTGTGAAAAATGAAGATAGTTTTATAAAAAAAGTGAGAAGCTTATTACCAAAAATAGAAATATAACTATTATTTTGAAACAGACGAAAATGACAAAATTAGACTATTATTTTAAGACGAAATGATTATATTTTTAATTATTTTGAGACGGAGGAAGTATCTTTTTATTGAAACGGTATAGAATGAGTAGTTTTGATATCAGTGTGAAATCACAAAAGCACAACCTCTAAGTTTAACTTGAGATTTAGCATATAACAAAATTAGAAGCATTCGATCCCAATTCAAATCAATACAAAGACATGCATTCATCCCTTTCTCAAACAAACGGTAACACAACCAAACAAGCCCGCAATATCAAGTAGCTACTCATCAAACAATGCATCCATCCATCGATCGATCATATATATATATATATATATATCACATTTACATTAACTCATAAAAGTCGGTACCTTGAACAATAACCGTCCCTCCGGCGAATCAGTGATCTCGGCTGTCGCTATCGCTGCCAGCAGAGGTTCGATCAATTCAGCGCAGACATTTTCGACGAAACAGAAAAACATTTATCAAGAACGCGATCACCTGCCGTGCAAACTAGTGGGAGATCGAACAATCCCTTTATCGCTGCTAGCCTCGTCGTCCACTTCAGGGCCATCCCCGCAAATCGCGTTGTTATTTACGCTGACTTCCGAGCTCGCATTGCTGCTCGTCCCGTGAGGAGAATCCGAGATGCTCGCCGTCTTTATTGTTGGCCCCGATCGAACGCTGTACATGGAAGACGCCGGGATGTAGGTCATAAGGGGCCTCAGATTTCCCGGAATACTCCGCCTAATGTCCTGCACAAGACAACAAGTTTTAAGGCATCATTATACTGAAATTCGACGCGAAAAATAATATTAACATACCATGTGTCTTATCGCCATGTCTAGAGACTTCTTGGAGAGGGTCCTTCCGAAGCCTGAGCTGTCGGGAGACGACGACTTTCCGGATAATTGGCCGTGGTGGAGCGAGGGCTTGTCATCTTGCTTCGGCGGGGCGAGTTTCCTCATATTGATGACTCGTTCGACCATTTTAGTACCGATGACGACGGGGCTTACATTGTCGTTTGCCTTAGCCTGCAACCGGTTTACGGCGGGGACGGGGACTGAGCTTCCGCTGCTACGAACAATGCCGTTCGGAGGTCGACCTCTTGCGGGAGAACACGATTGCCGTCGGACCCGACCGTTCGGAGCGGGTTCCACAGACGACGATCGGGAACTCGGCGCTCCGGGTCTACCTCGAGTGGCTGACGGAGGTCTGTCGGGTAGGCTTGTTCTCAAATTTGGCGGAGTGTCGAGCGAGAACCCCGGCATCTCCGAAGGCTTCCATGGTTTGGGTCGCACGGACGGAGAACTGGGGCGGGATGCAGACGGTTTTGCCGTAGCCGATACTGGTCTGGAAATCGTCGAGGAAGCTGGGGACCTGGAGGACACGGCTGCAGGCATTGTACCGTTAGAGACTGTCGGCCTTCGGGTGGGAGTTGAGGCCCGAGACGTAGACCTTGATGCAGGTTTGCTCGGCGGTGTCGAGGGCCTTGTAGTAGACCGATTTGTCGGAGTGGAAGATCTGGCACGAACTGCTGGCTTTGTTGTTGTTGTTGATGATAGCGTCGGGCGTGACGTAGGCGTTGCGGATCTCGAAGGTTTTGCTGCAGTGGTTGGTGTTGATTTAGACGCTGTAGTCGAGGAAGATCTTGTAGTTGAAGCTGAGGTGGTCCGATTTGATGCTGAGGTCACGGCTGATCTGGACGTCGAATTTGCTGTGGGACGTCCAGTTGGCGTTGCGGGTCTTGAACTGGAACCCCCGGAAGAAGACGGCCTGCGAAGTCCTCCACTTGAAGTATTGAGCCCGGGGGATGAACTTTGCTGTTTAGGTAAACTGTTCCTTGCAGTAGGCTCGGATTGAGGGACAGCCAGCTTCAGCAAGAAAAATTACAGTAAACGGGTTTACGTAATTTGGCAAATAAGTATAAAATTTACCATACGCGCATCTAAATTCGACTTAAAACTTAGTTTCAGAATCTGACTTGTCGCCAAAATAATTGCAGGTGAATTTCTCAAGTCCTATCGAAAAAGAAGACATCTAAGTACAAGAACTTGAATTAATGGTTGTTATTATTGTCTTCTGTAGGTATCCTTCGATTAGTAGAGCCCTATTTTTTCTAAATTGAATGATAGTGCCGTGTGATAAGAAGATGCTCGTCATTTCTACAAATTTGGCTACCTTTCGAGCCTGTGCTAGAGTACATATATATATATATATATATTTTTTTTTTTCTTTATGAACTGTATCAGTAACTTAAAGCACTCACTATTAGGCACATATGGGGCATGTCTCCTAAAAAATAACAGTAGGATTATGAATTTATGATTGATCTAAGAAATGGCCGTAACTTCGGTTCAGTCAGAGGTGCTGCTATTCACAGCTGACTTAACTTCAGCAGATTGTTACAGTTGTAAATAAATTTAAAACATAATATTACTCATGCTTACTCTAGACTTCAGGGCCGTCGGGCGTGCTTTTCGTGTTTCCAGTTGGCTCATAACAGTTCTTTGGGATTCCATCTCCAGCGACGGAAATAGAGGAGTACCAGGCGGTGTCAAGAGCCTAAACCGAAAAAATATATATATATATATATATATTGAAACATATATGACAGCAAAACACAGATATGCAGCATAAACATACATTCATGATAATCACAATTTAACTCCCAATTAAAAAAAAAATAAAAAAGAAAATGCAACTACTTCTCAATGGTAGAGAATCATACGCAGTATGTGGAATATAATACATAATTATTTATTTGAATATTATGCACATTAGATCAGAAGCATGTGACAGTCCCTGTTATCAATTAGATGACCACCACAGTTCATAATTGCTACGCTACTCCTTGAAGGATTGATTAGAATGAATTCCTTAATATGTTCTCTACCTAGATGCTTCTCATATCTAGGTTATGATTTTTAAGTCTTTTACTATATTAATCTTGTCGGAGTACCACTCTATTTCAGCTATGAAATTCAGACTACAAATGAAGTGATAGTATATAAATCCATGAGAAAATTTCTTAATTGCAAGCTGCCTTTCTTCTGCAGCTTTGTGAATAATATAATGTTATGCTAAGAGCAATGGACAAACTCTAATATATCAACATAGTAGAAAGATAAATGGCGCGAAAGCTAAGAACAGTAACAACCAACACATAAACTGAAGACAGGTTACAAAAATTGGCAAGAAAATGTGTTGAATCGAGATACAACTTATGCCTTATGAATCCAACTTTCATGTATCACCATATACACGTGCAAATAAAGAAATTATCAGTAGAAAATCAACAGATTTAAGACTGTTCTGAATGGTTCGACTTAGCACATTGCAGTAACTTAATCGACTAAAGCCTTAAGAATCCCATTATTATATAAAGCTCAATTAGCCTATTTCATTGCACTTTCAAACCAGCCAGATTCTGATAGATAGAAAGGATAGTAACAAATATAAGTAATCAAAAATGTTCACCTTAATGATAATCCTAACATGTTAGTTAAATGATTGAAACATCACACGCAAAATTGGAGTTATAAGAATGTACAGCTAATAACATGTAAAGCAAATTGCCCCGTTACCATTCATAATCATTTTTATCATTGTCAGAATTGAGAAAATCATCAGCACCAGTCTTTCGGACATTAGCAGATGTGCCGGAATTCATATTAAAAATCGGAGAACTCCCAGCTTTCGGCCCTGCAAGACAGTGACATATATGAAAATAAATGCAAGAATCTGCCCATTTTCAATAATGCAAAACAAAATGCTCCCTTTTCATACTAGTTCGAAAATGCAAAATCCACCAACAATAGAATCTCACAAACTTTAATAAATAGCTAAAATACAAAAACACAAACATTTCAAAAGTCCAACGAAATTTAGTCACAGAAAAATAAATGAAACCTATTTTTCCATACCAAGAGGATCATCAAACTCATCAGTGTTCTGAAGAAGAAGAAGATCGTTCTTTTCCTTCTCCAGCTTCCTCATTTCCCGAAACAACGCTAAATCCTCGTCTCTATTGTCCTTAATCCTCAGGCTCCCCATTTGTCTCCTCTCCAGATCCCTACAACTCCGATTTATACCACAATTACAAATCAAAATCCATAAAATAGGAAAAACATAAAATAAACCCTAAATCACTATCCAAACCTTCAAATCTATAAAATACTCAAAACTCAAGAACAACAGCATCCCCAAACCAAGACCAAACACAAAAAGTTTGTCCCCATAAACATAACGATTTCGTCAAATCCACAGATCGAGAACCGAAACCTACGACCTGGAGAAATTCACCCAAAAAACACACCTGATAACTATTCCGATTCAAATATCGCGTCAAAAAGCCCAAATTTACCTGCAATAACTCGAGACTCACTCCACGGATTCCTCGACGCACAAAACCTTTCGAATTTAGAGCTAGAAGCACAGAAGCAGATCTCAGATCATCCGAAACTCCAGAAAACACTTGGAAAACTAAATTTGTCCAACAAAATTTCCATCCCCTCAAAACCACCTCCAGAGGGCAGATTCAGCTCCCCAGATTGCAACGGATATCGAGTAGAGAGTGGCAGCGACAGCAATTTCGAGGGAACGCTAGCGAAAGTGGGAAGTTTCGTTCGAATTATTTTCGGGTAGAAACTTTTTTCTGTTGAGCAGAAAATCTTTTATAGGTAATTTAAAAAATTAATTTTTTTATTTGTATAATTAATTTTTAGAATGTATTGATGCTTGTTATTATTATCATTATTAATTATTATTATTATTATTATTTAATATTCGTACAATTTTAGGTTAGTGTTGCTGTTTATTGCGTGATCGAATTGTATTTCATTACCGCAGTCAATTTTTTTTTAAAAAAAATATATATATGATTATACATTATAATTATATTTTAAATTTTATATTTTCTAATATTAAATTTTTGTATCTACCGTAATAGACTCATATTTTTTTGGGACGGAGAGAGTATTTTTGTATTTAACATTAAAAATATTTTTATATTTGTATAATTTTTTTTTTACAAATGTTTCTACAATATTACAAAACAATGAAATATTTTTACGATTTTTTCTTACTTTATACTGTCGATTTGATATAATAATTAATATTCAAATATTAATATATAAAAAGTAAATAAATATCTTTAAAACGGATGTAATATTATGTTTTTTCATCTTAATTTTGTTTAAATTTTCTAAAATTTGAATTAGTTATAACATTATATTTTAAGTTTTTTTTTTTTTTTTCTGAAACAAACAAATATATTATTTATACCTTTATTTTTATAAATTAATTTATATAAATAATATATATATATTCTCGCTCAGTTCAACTTATATGTATTTTTTATTATTTTTGTTTGTGACGCTCAAATATGTTTTATTTTTTTATCTCCGTTCAGCTCTAATGGTTTCATTTACTTTTTACATTTAATTTTTTAATATTAATTATTATATCAAAATATAATACAAATTAAGAAAAAATTGCAAAAATACTTCTATTAGCAGCGGACGAATATTATTACCATTTTTACATTATTAGCAGCGGACGAAAAAATTGCAAAAATACAAATTTTTTAATATATTATTACATTTGTACAATATTTGTAATGTGAAGTACAATTATGCAAAAAATAAATATGACCATTAGCAGCGGACGAATAAAGTATTTATTAATGACATATTTTTATTTTTACATAAATTATAAATATATAACTACATATTATATTTTATGCATAAAATACAAATTTTTTTGACATACTTCAACTAATAAATAAAATAAAAGAGTACGTGTGTCTTGAAATGTATAATTTATTCGCATATAAAATCATATTTTTTTTATAAATATTATTTTATAAAAAAGAAAATTATAAAATATCAATATATATTTTAAATTGAATATATATTACATGGTAATTAATTTACAACCAATCAACACCTCATTCAACAGTATAATATCTGTTTGTTTAGTTGTGATTTAAAATAAGATATTGATTTAAAATTTTAATATAATATTTTATTAAAAAATAATATACTTTTATATAAAAAAAACGGTGTTGAGTGAATAGAAATAAATTTTTATTGAAAATAATAAAAGAACAAACTTTAGAATTTTGAACTATAACTCTTGTACTTTGGGGCGCCCATAAAATTTTTAGTATAAATAATTCAATTTTTAAATTTTTTATTAGTATAATTAACTCTTGTACTGTAATAATGTAACTTTTTTTATTTTTAATTTAAAATATTTTTATGTTAAGTATAAAAAAGATATTTCGATAATATAAAAAATATATATATACTATTATACTAAATTATTGAGATTTTGAGTAGTTAGAGTATATATAGTTTTGTTCACTTAATTTATTTTTTTATTAATACAATTGTTAATATATAATTTATTATCTCATAAAAATTTAATATTCAATATAAAATATTATTTTTTTATATTATCAATACAGTTTTTTTATTTATTTTATATAAAAAAATATTTTAAACTAAAATATTAAACAAACACTATATTATAAGGTTGTGGATTCAACGTTGATGGGTACACTTATTAGCACCGTGATATCATCCCCATCTGTCCATCTCGGCTGATGAAAAAGCAACGTTTTAGATCGCGTGTAGGGGTACGATGATCTTTTTCCTACAATGATATTTTACCTAGGGTAAGTTTTTTCTCATTTCACCGTCTTCAATTCTTGCAAACGGTGGAAAAGTTCGTCATGTTGAAGCTTTTATGAACAAAATCCAATAGCGTTAGGAGAGGGAACTCAAAAACCCGTTTGTCTTCAACACCCATCGTAAGCGAAAAAAAATAAGAATTAAAAAATTTCTTCCTGTTCAATTCGAAAGTCTTGGTAGGGAACAATTTTGTTTGATACACGTCACTAATAGAAATAAAAAATGGAAAAATCTTTGCGTTCAAAATATCCTATTATTCAGTTTCTGTATATTTCCAGAAAAATCGTACAGTTCAATGAGTTCCTACACCATCCTTCTGTTGAGAATTTTCGTGAATTTATTCATTCTAGTTATTTCAATGGTCTTTTTTAAGTTATCTGATAATTCATAATACATGTGAGTATATAGTTACGTATACTTAATATTTTATTTAAAAATATTTATTATTATTTTTATTATTTTTATATGCTAACTTATGGAATCTATGATGTTTATGGTATAAATTAAGTAATGATATGTTCTTTTTTGTATATAGTATATGATTTGGGTTGATATTGAAAATGATTGTGCTCGGAAAAATATGAAGGTGTTGTTTAATGATTGAAAACGTCAATTCAAGTTAGAATATCTTAGAAAAGATTGAATTGAGTTCCTGAAGACTAAGAATGTAAGTATACTTTTAGTCTATATAAGGAATAACAAGATCATATATTTGAGACGATGGTTTAGTATATTATGAAATGTTATTTTTTGTCCATTTTGTTGCCAAACTACTGGGGCCTATTTTTTGTCTCTGTTGTAGGTAAGAAAATATACTATTTCAATAGAAGCCTAAATGTTGTGTATGAATGAACAAAATATTCATTGTTCTTTAAGAGTCTATTTGGATATTTTCGAACTGCTGCAAATTTTATTTTATTGACCTACGGTGGAATTTTGAATATTCAGTCGAAGCGCCTCTACATGTGAGACAGCCGAATATCTACAATTGTGAATTTTTTCAATGTTTTACATAGCCAATTTGTCCTTTGTTGAGTGAGAGTCTACATGAACAACTTGACAAACGTAAGCCTTTTTATATAATGAGAAAAAAAATTTATGTGCAAATCTTTCTGTAATGGGAGAATCAAATAATTAAGTATGCAAGAAAAAAGTCAAAACTTGTTGCTAGTGAAAAAAATCCATTTAAAGAATGTAAAAACGTCGATGCTAAACAAAAAAAACAATGTGTTAAGATTGGTGCAAGTAAACATGTTGGCGGGCCCAGAAAAAATTGTGATGTATGTGATTGATTAAATGAATTATTACATGTTATGAATTGAATAAATTGTTGCATAGGATAGATTGAATGTGAATGATTAGATTGAATTGTTGAATGTAATAAATTTAATGTAAAGTTTAAATACTTTTATCCGTTGTTTTGATAAGTTTGTGGAAAATATATTTAATATATATATATATTGTTGGGATTGGGTCAACTCAACACTAGTAGTATGTGATATTGTTTGCTTTGGACTGAGCCCGCACGGATTTGTTTTTGGATGTTCTCCAAAAGGCCTCGTACCAATGGAGTTCACTTGGAAGTTATAAAGTGTGAAATTTTCTTCACAACTTCCGATGTGCAACTTGGGTTTGCACTTCGACATATATATATATATATGTAGAAATCTGTTGTAATGATATTGAATCAATAAATGATTAATTGAATTATGTAAAATTATATTCAGATACTTTGTTTAAATGCTAATTATAAATGTGAATATGATATTCTTAGTACAACAACATGCTAATGATAACACAATAATATATATATATATATATTTGGTATAACACTTATTTACTGTTGGAAATAACAAATAGATAATATTGATTGTAAAAAAAATAAAATAAAATAGTATCCACAATTTAACAATATAATGCATATATGCATAGTTATAAAGCTCAATAAAAACACACATAAATCAAGAAAAGCATAAAAAAATATCTTCTCAACAATAATTATATAAATTTTCGTATCTTACAACAAAATACTTAAAAGCAATGTGATTTTTATTATTATTATTATTATTATTATTATGCAGATAACTACTATTATCCACATATACTCGTATAGTGGATTTAATATTAAAACAATAAAAAATTACTATTAATTTTTTTAATTTGATATAAAAATATAGTATTTTCAACATCACATTGAAACTCTTATTTAAACCAAAAAATAACATATACATAAAAATTACCAACCAAACACACCCAAAAACTTCTTTTTCAAATTATTTTCTTTTTAATTTTTTTTTTTATTATGAAATTCCCACGAATTTTTTAATAACATATACATAAAAACAGTTCTTCAAAGCTAAAAATAATAAAAAGAAATCCATACAGCGATCTAATAATAAAGTAAATTCTACTTAAAAATAAATTTAATATTGTTATATACAATAATTATAATAAATAAGTAATTATATTATATTTTCTCTATCAGATAAAATCAGCACATTTGAGTCCGACACAAAAATTAATAGACGTAAATATTTTATTATAAAAGTGATAAAAGTAAAAAATAAATTAAAAATATTTTTAAAAATTTATTTAGTAATTAAAAAATAAAAAGATAAAATATAATAAAAGTAGTGACAAAATTAATTTTGAATGTATGTCCTTTTTTAAGTTTGATTTTAATTTTATTGTTTTTTAATAATAGTTTGAATAATTATGAAAAAAAAAACATACTCTCGAGAATTTAGGTAAAGTATAATTAGTAAATAATTAAAAAGTGTATTAGTAAAAATAATTATTATTTAGTAAAAATAATTATAGATTAAGATTAAGATAAGTAAATAGTTTAATTAAAATTAAGAAAATTATAAAATTTAAAATTTAAAATACGATTAAAGTGCATAATTATTTTTTCAAAAATAGAAAGGATAAATTACATGGGATGAACAAAAATAGAAAATAGA